GTGCACTATACTAAAGAATGTCAGATTGCTGATTGACTTATTGCTGAATTCTGCGCTTTTGCAGAGAAGCCGAGAAGAGCTAAGAGGTCGTTATACAATTCCTTTAAGTATTCCCTTTGTACACAGGAAATAGAAGTCGCGACGCATTCAGTCTAACTTAATTTATTACCAATTTCATTACTTTACGCTTTCCTTAACCAATTGATCATATTTCCATCTCCTTGCATCAACTACATATCTTCAATTTCCATCAAAAGCAAATATTTACATTTTTCCACTTCGCAATGCGAGCGAACCGAAATTCCCCCCAAAAAAGTGGAGCCATGGGATTTCCCTCGTTGCCAAAGCAATAAAGCAAAGCGCAATACATTAACAAACAGACATATAAGAAGATTGCAGTTAAAAACACCCTGCACGATTTGAAAAATCAATTTGGTTTGATTGGGATATATTTTGATGATTGTGGATCCAGCTGAAATTCGTATGAGAAATTCGGTTGGACTGAAACTGATATTCAATATGATATCACTTATATACGATTCGGCTTCGAGAAGTTAACTGGGCGAAAGGACAAGAAAGAATTTCGAAGCTAAAAAATATTAATTATTAAAATCTACACAAAATACATTTAAAAATGAGAAAATAATATGTGATATAAGAAAAATGCTTAAATAAATAAGAATATTTTTGAGAAATATACTTTATATAGGGATTCAATTTTAAGGCATCGATATATTGGTACACTCAATATACATTTTATATTTTACATACAGAACTGTAGTGTGACCCATTTGTAGTTTTATTGGGTACAGGGTATACACAGAAGAAACAAAAAAAGAACAATTACAAACGTAATATGAGACGTGGACAGAGTGCGTTGGTTTGCAAATGGCCTTGGGAGTGCTCCTTGAAGCCCTGGCGGACAGCTGAGAAGAATTAAACTAATATTTATCAAAGAGATGAGCCAGACGTGCTTCAGCTGAACAAAAGCATTGCCAGCATGGCCGGCGCCAAAGCAAAGTGGCCGGAAAGCCTGAAGAGCAAAGCCCGAAATATGAGACAACTGTTGGGATGAAAAGAAACAAAAGGATATGCACGAAGCCAAAGACGGCATGCGGTGAGCGAAAGAAGCAAAATCCAAACAGAACCAGACTGCAGCGTCATGAAACCAGAACAGAACAAAGAACTGAGAACACTGACGCTGTGAAGTTTACCAAAATCCCGATGCCAAAATGTATGGACACATCTTTGCCCTCATCGTTGCCCGCAGCTGAGAGCTGTCTGTGTATTAATGCTTGATGCTTGGCTAACAAAAAAGTTTGAAGCCAACTTTATGCTAATTAGCAGCTGCTAAAAAGTGCGAGATACGGAATAATTTTACCAACAGGTCCACAGTCCTAATGTCTCGCACCTGCAGACAGCTATACCAGCAATATTCTATCACGCAGCTGCTGTCATAGATAACGTGGCACAAGTGGGTGGCTCTTCAACAAGTCTGGGTCAACGATAAATGCCATTACCAGCAGCACTATATTTTTTCAGTTTTTCATTCATCGCCATTTTTTTTTGTGCAGCGGCCAACTTTTGTGTTGCCTGATTTCAAATGCTGGTGTCGAGTGCATTTCACATTTCGTTTTTCAAATTTTGCATTTAGCATTTGCAGCTGGTGCAGCTGTTTGTTGGCATAGCAATACATCTGAATTTACATATATACCGCTTTGCAGTGAACTATACATTGAGTCCCCCTCTCTCTATATCTATCTCTCTCTCGCTCTCTTTTGTCGCTGCTGAATTACGTCGAAATCGCTAAATAATGCGACAATAAATATGGACTATTGTGTGGTTCAGTCCACTTGCAGCTTCAGTGCCGAACAATGCTCGTCCATAAATTACCTAAATTGAAAACCATTTTGCCTCTGCCCCGTTTGGACGCTGTTTTTTCGACGCTTACTTATGCGGCTGTCCCCTCTTCCCCGACCAGCAAACAATTCCGCCAACGCGCGCCACACTTTTATATTCATTACATTTCATACCGCACCATCCAGTTTAATAATACACTGCACTAATGAAATTCAAAAATTCGAGTCGCTGCGATATATGAACAAACAAGAGCCTTGATAAAGATGTGAGATGCATCTCAGTTATTCAAGGTTATTAATTTTGATATAATAATTCAAATTAATTTAGGTCAAAGTAGTAAGTAGATTTTAGACAAATAATTATTATGGCAATTAAAGAAAATGATTCTTTTTTATTTTATTTAAATACAGTAATTTATTTATTTATATTGTTTATCAGACAAATGTATTGTACGTCTTGACTTATCCAATAGTTGCGTGGCCCTAGAAGCTAGCAACAATATACTTAAAATACTATTAAAAATATTGCTTGCCAATTGGAGTGTATTTTATATTCGGTGAATGTGGTATTTCACTTTATTTACATTGTTTGCTACTTCAACAGTATTTTTGCCTTTCGTTCGGTGCGCGCATAAATATGCAATAGAAACTTTTCTCACGTTTTTGATTGCTCTCTATATTTTTTGTGCAGCGTCATAAATATTTAAGGTTTACTTCTGACAACAGCAACAATAACTGAAACTGAAATGAAAGCGGCAACAGCAGTTGAATGCCTCTTTAGCTGACGGCGGAGATCTCCGCTCATTTATCTCTGTAATATTTTTGCGAAAAAGTCGCTTTTATTGCTTTTCAGCAAAATGGCAAAGCAACAGCTGCCCTCTTGAAATAGGGCAGACAGACATGCAGCGTGTAAACTCAACTCAATGTGAATCGATTCAATCAGACTCCTACCATCACTTAAGTTTGCCTGCAAGTTTCAATAGTCTGCAGCAGTGGGTGGTTTCATCAAATTGATGTCATCGAGGGGAAGATGATTGCAAGCTGCAACACAAAAAAACCACAGGATGCACTTCATTAACTTAATTAAAAATCTTTGTGTGATGCTGCAGCTTGCCGACAAATATACTTGCAATATAACCATCGTCATCATCATCATCATTATCATTACATATATATTATAAATTGCAACATTGTCGCGGTCGCAACTCACATTTTCTTGGGAATGTGAATTGTACGCAGCAAGAGCAACCGCAAAGCGACTCACTTCCAACTGAGCTTATAGTCAAGTGTGTGCATTCGCGAGTAATAAGCAAATCCTGCCAGCAGTTGCCATTTCTGTCCACACATTAATAACGCTCGTGTTGCATGCAACCGCCAATGCTGGTGCTCGTGGTGCTACTGTTGCCACTACAGCCGCTGTCTCACACGAAGCGTAAACTCAATTAAATTCTGTCGAGCTCACCGCACACACACACAGCCACAGACACCCACACGCACACAGTTTCTCTCTCGACTCACGAGGGTGCTTGATTATCCTTATCCAGTGTTTGGGTCCGTTACACATCCTGCCACAAATTCGCTGTCGCCGCTGCGTGGAAAGTGCATTTATTTGTTCCACTTTTCTATTCCATTTTCTATCTTAACACCCGCATATCAAGCGTTTCGGCGAGCATTTCAGCAACTGCGGCTGCGGTCTGTGCTTTTGCATGTTTGTGCTAAGCTCATACAGAGAAAGCGAGAGATAGAGAGAGAAAGCGAAAGTCGAAAACTAAGAGCGACAGAGTGGGGGATAGAGAGAGCAAGTCCATTATAATTATTATTTTAACATTTCTTTTCAGTTGGTTGCAGCTCATAAGCATTTGAGAGGCAATTTTGTGAAATTGGCTGCGTAAATACTTCAACGTTAATGGGCATTTTATTATGCATTTCGTAGTGGTTCTAGAACCAATTTAGTTGGGCATTATGAAAGAGAAGCAGAGCAAATATTTAAAAATATAAAAATGTTTGTATAAGCTAGGTGAAAACTACAACATTCCAAAGTCGAACAATCTAAATGGTACTAGGTTTATTTATTTGTTTATTTAATGCCAACTTAAGTCAATCGACACATAAAAATATGAAAAGTACAAAATAGCATAGAAATGGAATTTATGACTAAGAACTAAAGGGAGGATTGCAAAATTCAAAATCAAATCGAGATATTATTTAAAGAATTGTTTTTGTATAGCAAAGGAATTTAACAATTTGAAGTCTTGTTGCAAACAGTTGTTGTTGCTGCAAATGTATCATTTGCATTGCATTTGCATTTGTTGACAGTGCGACAGTCATTTTTGTTGCATGTGTTTGCGTGTGCAACGAGCCGAATGACTTGCACTCTTCCTCCAGTTGTCTGTTGCCTGTTTCTATGCATACACACGTCCTGTGCCTACCATGTCTCAAAGTCGGCTAAGCGTGACGTTGACGAAGCGCATGCAACAGCTCAACTTGTGAGGGCGAGCGGGTGCGGATAGTGTGGAGCACTGTGGGCGATGACATGGCGGTCTAACATTGTTGCATTTGCAGCAGTTGTTGCTGCTTGTTGTTGCTTGAAGTATATTTGTTGCTGACAATTTCTTGTTAGCGCTGCTCACGTTGTGGTTGCGCTCTGAATGTGCCATGTGTGTGCGTGTGTGTGTGTGTGTGTGTGTGCGTGTGTGTGTGTGTGTGTGTGGCTGTGAGTGTGGGCGTTCTAGTCGATAAATTTTCAATTTTGCAACTTACAAAAGTTATACAGAATCATGTGTGTGCTTATGTGTGTTAGCTTTAACGTTTCCGCATTTTAGCCACACTTCAGCACAGCACAACATGGCGTATGATTGATGCCGTCTACAGAGCCTCTATCATACACTCACACCAGAGGGGTGGTTTTAAACAGCAGACAACTTATTATGTTTACATAACAAAAACAAAACCCTTGCTGGTTACCATACACACATACAAGAGTGTTAGAGTGAGAAGGGGTAGTGGGGGGCAGGGATTCAGGTAAACAGTGGGTGCGAGAGTTTACGTTAAATTATACTCATATACGCAATCACGTATGTTTATCCTTGATGGAGTGTGTGCTGTGTTGCTTTAATTACATTATTTACCCTCTTATTTCAGCTGTCTCAACAAGCCAAGCAAACGAAGCAAAGGAAAAGCCAAACAGAAAGTATAACAAACAGGTATGATTTTTTATGGCGAAGACTAAATAAAGATTATTTATATTATTTAAGTTACACATTTTTTTAAATATTATTTTAAAATATTCATAGAGATATACATTAAGTTGTTATATTTTAACTTTTAGTGACATTAATTTTATGCAAAACTCTTTTGTACTACTTCCACTTTGTGATTGACTTTTTAATTGTGACAGTCACTTAAATGAACTTTGTAAATACACCACCAACTACAAAATGGGAAATTATAAAGTGCTCTAAGTTTGACTGCGCTTCAATAAAAACTAAAACAATGCAATTAGCAGCTGACAGTCACATAAAAATGTTTTATGGCTCACTCTTAGATCATGGACGACATTACACCGAGCTCTATTTCTCCGGCTCTCTTGTTTTCTCATAAAATTAACTTAAGTTTACTGCATGAATAATTGTTGTCGGCTAAATAGAATATTTACGCAGCTGCAGTAACAAAACTGCATTATATATACATAGTATATATATATTGTATTAGATGTTGCTCTTTCTTAAGTGAAATTCCTGGCAAAAACCTAATTTTGAAATGAGTAGCTGGCTTGTGGCATTGACTAATCTGATATGTGCATAAGGATTTATTTATTACTTGCTATATTTTATTTCAGATTTATTTATAATAAAGATAAGCTCTCTCTCAGCAAATTAATTGATGCGAAAATATTTAAAATGTTGGAATATTGTAAACATAAAACACTCATATCAGACCATGTTCAAAGATGATGTCACAGCGTGCCAAACAAATAAATTAAAACCACATAAATATGTCTGATGGCCACACACAAAAGTATCTATGCATATATGGGTAGAAGATATAAATATATGTGAAATTAACATTTATGCCTTTGGCTATCAGCGGAGGAGCAAAACATAAATTTGCTATAAAAACAAGACAAGTGAAACAGCAAAAATCATGAACATAGTACCGATTTTTTTTAAGGCTTTTCCATAAGTTGCAGTCATAAATAATCACATGAAATAACAACAAACACAACATGTTGCTATGATGCTCCTCCGCCTAATATTATCCAGACAAAAGGAAACCCAAATGGGAATACATAAATAGCATTTTTTTTTTATGCGAAACAGGAAGCTGCCAAACTGTACCCGCAATTTATGTAAAATTTAATGCTTTATTACGACACACACACACATACATGTTTGAACAAATATGCAAATCACATCACTCATATACGCCTACCCAATGCGACGGGTGGCTGGAGAAATCGACTTGACTGTATGCAAAGCATTATCAAACATGAAACATGAAACACCAATGAAAATGTCAGGCAACAAACAAACACAGCAACAAAGATAACACTAAAGATAAGCAATTTTCCTCGTTTCCAAATGTTTTCACCGTTAGGCGTTCGCCCTACACATGTTTTGTGCACATATTTTATTATGCACACAAAACTCAACACACACACGCACACACACACGAACACACATATCCAAGCATGCCATACAACACACAAAATGCTCACATATGTCACTCTGTAAGCATTTTATGCCGGAATACGTGTAACACTGCACTACAAAAGTGAGTTTGTTAAAGTGAAACTTAAATGTTTGAATTATCAAATCACATAATTATTATCAAGCTTACAGATTTAGATCGACTCTTTTTGCTGAATATTCTGTACACCTTTGAATGTCTCAATGGATGCTTCCAAAACTATTGATATAATATTCGAGCTTGCTGTCCCAATAAGATAGGGTATTATATCCCAGTCTATGTTTTACTAAAACATCCCCAGTCCAAAGTTCAACTACCTTTCACTAATTTAGTATATATGAATAATTCGTTTGGCACTCAAGACTGTTTAAGACATTAACTCGTTTCACAGGGAGTCACTGGTTGCATGGTGTAAGTGCGCTGGCGTTAATATATGATTCAAAAGAAACGCATTTATTATTTACAGGGATGCCAGAAAAGTGAAAAAAAATAAACCACCAGCTGCTTGACACATAAACATCAAGTGCGCAACACGCCCTCAACCAAAAATAAAAGGGAAATTTAAAAAAAAAATAAAAAAAATGAGAAAATTTGACTTCTGTTCAACCAGGAATGAAGAGTCGTGGCAGAAGACCCATGTGAAAAGGGCACCAGCGTCAACAGCGGCAATTTAAAATTTCTGGCTTTTTAACTCGCATCCATTTACAGCAATTTTGCGTGTACCCGCCCTTCTGCCACCAAACCACCCACGTAACCATCCCTACTTGACAGCCAGCGTGAGCATGTGACGTGTCAGATTGAAATTACATCACTTGGCGAATGGCAAACGGTAGAAATGCCTCACATGGATAAAAAAAAAAAAAGAAGAAGAAGATTGCATAAATAAGCAATATGCCAAAAATTGAAAAAAGGTTGCCGACATGTTAAAGAAATCACACTTGATGACTCAATAATTGAAATGCGCGCACAAGCATACGAAATGAGCGATATCCAGCACGTTACGTATACGCAGCATTTGCCATTCACAAAGATATTTCTGAGATATGGGGTCAAAGCTGCCCATTAGGCATGTGGTTTTGGTCACTCACTCCACTTGGCAGACAGGACTTGACCGAAACACCCAACAGTTTATATATGTGCACTTCATCTGTGTTTTTCCCTTCGTGGCACTCACCTCTCCAAAGTCAAAGTCACTTATTTCATGCATTATGCGTTGCGGCCACAAAGCCGCACGGATTTAAAAAGCTTTTTGCAGCAAAAAAAAACAACTAAAAGTTGTCTGATGCGCTCTAAGGGCAGTAAGGGCTGAAAATGGTTCAGCAGAATGCCTGAAAATAAGCGGAGCTGCAATCCGCAGCAGACCATGAAGCCAAACCCGTATAAAACCACCAAAACAACTGCAGTGCATTCCACTTATTTACAGAATGCCTTACTACTGCTTAATCTTCTTCTTTTTGTTGGGTCTTGTTATTGTTGCTGGTGAAACAATAGCTTGGCATATCGGGAAAAATTAAGTTTACGCTTTCTGAATTTAAATGCAGCTGATGGACGCTAAGCTCATTTACTCAGCTATAAGTAAATTGCACACTGTAAATGATATCGCAGAAATTGCCAGCGTCAGCAGAGGCAATAAAAAAGGTTCTTTCCAAAAAGGACAAAGTTGACAATCGACTGACTCGTTTTTGGCGTGGCAATGAACTTGTATTTACTTATATAATTGGCAGTGTAACTGGATAAACAAAGTTTGTTAGTAAAGTATTGCAGATCTTTCCTGCTGAGATTGTTTCATTAAATTTTTTTTACGTGTCGTAAAATATTTTCTTTATATATTTCTGTGGCATTCATTTTAAAGAAAAATTCAGGACATAATTAATTAGAGTCCGCATCCCATGTCAAAATGTCAAAACAGTAACAGGTCCTATGAAAGTATAAGAATTCGAGTAAGAGAAGCTGACTTAAAACTTTAATATGAACTGTATCCAAGAAAAAATCCCCGTTTTTGCGTGACACATTTTACGTGTGATAAAAAGAAAATGTGTGCTTCCTTCATGTTTCCTGCACTCACTTTATATTTTTACTCAACAAATCCGCAAATCATCTTGCCAAAATGCTTGTCAGTTGTTGGCACTTATCCGGTTTCGACCAGCTCACAGTTGTACTTGTAAATTTCAGGTACGAAAAATAAAAGCATTTTTAAAATAACTCTGCAAGCGAAAGTTTGCAATGGTTTTAAGTAATCAAACAAAAGTTGTCGGAGTCAAATCGTCCTTGAGTGCAATGCATATTCCTTAATCAAACTTCAAGTTGAAGCTACACTTTGCACTTGGCTGCAACAAATTGTTGACAAACCAATAACACAACTCGGGCATCTTTTGCCTGTCAAACCAGTCGCAACGACAAATCTTCGCTAGAACTAATCTTATCCGCTCACGTTGTTGCCCCTTTCCCATCCTGTCCTCGTGTCCTCCTGACTGCGTGTTTGCTAACCGTAAAGCATGCAGACCGACACAAAAACACACAAACTTTCGACAAGCAACTGCGGCAAACCCCAAGACGCTGCCTCGCCTTGGGTTTTGGAACATAACCGTGGAAATTGCTAAATATTTGAAAAGTTGTGCAGTGGCGCGCCGAGAGTTCCTACTGAAAATGTCAACTAGTGTAAAACTTGCGGTAAATTGTTCAGGGCGTGGTCACAAAGCCAAATTGGCAGACAGCAGACGAAATAAGTACATATCCAAAGAACTGAAAAGTTGCTCATACGCCGCATTACCAGCGCACAGAAACGTGAAAGCCGAATTATTTATGACCCGCCATCGGCTCAGAAGCTTTTTAAGTACGAGCATCATTGCCTGAGGGAAAATAATGATTTAATCGTTTGGAGTAATAATTTTGTACATTTGGCTTTTCGGCAACTCTCCAAGACGCATAATTTAATTCAATTATTTATGTCCCATTGTCAGCTGGAGCAGATCCCCAAAATGAGAATAAACATTCAGGGACAGGGACTTATGAGCTGTCGACAAATGCTTAAAGCAGCTTACAGTTTGTTTGTTTGCTGACCAAATAATTCTGCCATTTTCTGCCATTTTCTGCCTTGCCACTGACTGCCACTTCCCTTGCCCCGCTGCTCCCTTTGTCCGTCTGTCTGCCAGTTGATTAGCATAATCAACCAGCAGAATTAGTATAGTTACATGCTCAAATGCAAAATAGTTCTGTGCACATACTTATTTGTCGGTATACGTAGACGTCTAGTTTAGAATTCAGCTTTGGGCTCATGCAAAATATACATTTCATTTGCAGCGCACGCCTCTACGGAGATGTGCAAAGCAAATTGTTGAAATAATCTCGAATTCTCTCATCGAGAACTAATTAGAATAAACAACACAAAATAATTGCATCTAAAACCGAACTATATATTTGTGTACATTTTTATTATCGTACTCGTTTAGAGCCAATTTGCTTGCATTGTCTTTATGATTATTTGCTACTTGGTTCGATTTAAACAATTTCAAAAATAAATGTGTTATTTTATTAAACCGAAATAAGTATTCGACGATGCGTAGTTTAAAAGAACATTCTTTATTTTGTAGAAGGTTTTAAATTCAATTTTTCATTTGCTTATTTGCCACATGATGCGATATAAACAATTTTTATAATATTTGTTTAATTTCATTAAATCACTATTTTATCGAAATAAGTTCGACGATGCGTAGTTTAAAAGAACTTTCTTTATTTTGTAAAAAGTATTTTCTTAAAATATTATAAATTAAATTTTACGTTTGCTTCTCATTTATTTTTTGAAGTTGTGGCATTTGAAGTATTTTAAATTGCATTTTATTAAAGAATATCCGAATGCCGACTAATTGAATTAAATTGGCGGCTTGAGGTTGTTTTTCGTTAGTCGGAAATTTGCGTATTATTTGAAACAAATATTTATACAGTTTAATTGAAATTGTTGTCCCTCAATGTTTAAATTAAATTTGCTTGCAATTTAGTTTTCCTGAATTTTTCCGTAACTATGAAATGAATTTTATATTTGAACTGGCTTACGCTCTTATCTAATGCGAGTTTAAAATTCCTAACACGCTCAGGTGGTAGAGTAATATGTGTGGGAGTGGGGGCAGGTTAGGTTGCGGATTTTGCGGGCCACTGTGGCTGTGACAACGTCTGGCTGTCTAGACGCGATTTTGAAAATCGTCATGTGGCACACTTTGGCCGACTTCAATAAATTCACAGACAAGAGACACGTTTCATGCCACAATTGATGGAAACATTGCCATATTTTGCACAATTTATAATGGAATTCTATTCAAAGCAAAATTTATTTATTTTATTTTGGCTCTTATTTTTCGAGCTTTGGCCGATGACCACAAAAAGGCCATGAGAAATGTAAAAAATTCCAAACGGAAGCTGCAAGCCAGCAAAAAGATAAAAAAAGCTGTTTATTTGTTACGCATTTTTAAGTAAGGCGTGGTCGTGAGGCGTAACTGTAGGTAATTGAAACAGGGGCAGCGCAAACGATTCAATAATGAGAAGAAGTATGAAAATTAATACAAAAGGACGCAACGGCAACGCGGTCAGCATCTTCTGCCTCGCTTGTTTTTTATATGACTCACATCAAGAAGATGAAAACTGGCGATGATGATGATGTTCAGTATGATAATTATGTGGTTGCTGCGAAGAAATACATTTGTGTTTGGCCGGCGGGGTCATGCTCATGCCCCTCTTAACTTTCTTTTTATTGTTTGAAAATTTAAGAGGAAATTGAAAGAACTTCGGCCACCAGCACAATCGCATGTGTAAGGGTGTAGTTGGAGAGGAGAAAAGAGAAATGTGTGATAGATTGAGAGTGAGTCACAAAGCGGAATCTGAAGACCCTTAAATTGCACGCATGTTAAATCTAAGAGAGAGTCCAGCTTATGTTTACAAATATTATTTCAAGAATCATTTGAAAGCACTAAATACTTAATGGAGTGAGGACAAACGTAAAATATTACAATCACTTAACTTTGTAGTTGATTAAATATTAATTTATTGGAACTAGATTTTACTTGAAGCAATATAAGAAAGATGTGTGTTCAAAAATATTGTATTTAAATTAATTTTAAAAACCATTATGTGTTATGTAAATAATATTTTAGATATACAATCATTTTATTTAAATTTATTATAAAAATGTATTATAAAAAATATGAATACTATTATTAAATTATAAGCATATCTAAAGCTTATAATTTTTTATTTTTTGGATTAAATTATTTACGCTTTTAAAGCACAATTTGCATAAGCATCTAACAATCTTTCTCACTCTCTCTTTCTCTCTCATTACAGCAGCGCGACAATCAGAGCATAGAAAGGCGGTTTCAAGCAATAGCCCAACGGATTCAACCTACCAGCTATCTTTACATTTTTAAAGCTATAAAATACACAACAAAATAATAGAAGAATACAAGAAAATAAATCTTAAAGTACAGCAGCACAAGCGACAAATAGCAACAGCAACAATAGCAACAACAGCAACAATCAGTAGCAAACGCCGTGAGCACTAAACATTTATTAGGCACACCGCAAATATCGCTTTATTAAGCATACGCTACGTTAGCCAGCAGAAGCAGCAGACTGACGAAGCTGACGGACAGTCGAGCGCACATTAAATTAGTAATCAAGCTTGACAAAAGCAACGACGAGGGGTACAGCGAACAGTTCACGCCATAAGCTGAGGCAGAGCCGACGTCTGGATTGTGTGGACCTCAACAGAAACTAATAAGACGACTTTACTTTTATTGAAATTATGATTAATGACACGAATATTGGACGACGGCGAATGAGGAATCAGCGCGCCTTAAGCATTGCAGCGAATTAAGGGCAAAGCCCATGACAATGATAATGCTGATGATGATGTTGGTGATGAAAATAATGATGATATTGCGACCAAGACGCGATTTCAACACCGATGGTCATCGGCCCATGTAAGCCAGCACCATGGAAATGATGGAGGAAATAATAAACATTGTAACGATGATGAAATTAAACACTGGCAGGTCAGTGGGTGTCAAAGCTGTCGCCGCTGTTGATTGCCGGTGTGGAAGCAACATCAATTGAAAATACGTTTGCCATTCGACACGGTCTACAGCAAATTAAATTGCAAATTAAAGAAAAGTGAATATAGAAAAACAAGTGTAAGGAATTTGTGAAGGCATTACAAATTAGTAATTTGATGGCTTCGTTCGGGCAGCATGGCGCAGCAGCCGCAGCCCGTAGACGACGCCATCAGCAACAGGAGCCATCAATAAAACACAACAGCAGCAGCAGCAGCAGCAGCAGGAGAAGCAGCAACAACTACAACAAACTGATCTCGACGGCAACACTGACGCTCCTAATACTCTGCCTGAGCAGTTGCATAGCAGCAAAGACCACGACAACAATAACCACCACAACAACGACAACGACAACCACAACAACAACAACGGAACAGCCAGCAACCAGCGAGGATTTCAATAGCAGCAGCGCCTTTTTGGGCGCCATTGCTGCTGCTGCTGCTGCTGTTGGGGGTGGTGGTGGTGGAGTCGGTGGTATTATTGGTGGTGGCTCAGTTAATAGTAGTCCCATTGCAATTGTAAGCATTCAGGGGTTTACGAGCAGCACACCAAATGGCAGCAGCAGCAGCACCCTCATCTCCATGTCTGATTCCCCACTGCAGCTCGAGGAGCTTGCCGTCGGCGAGGAGGAATTTGAGTTGCCACCGCTGCAATCGGTAATTGTGAGCATTATCCTACTGATTGTCATTTTGGGAACTGTGGTGGGCAATGTTCTTGTGTGCATTGCCGTCTGCATGGTGCGCAAATTGCGAAGACCTTGTAATTATCTGCTGGTATCGCTGGCATTATCCGATCTCTGTGTGGCGCTGCTCGTGATGCCGATGGCCCTGCTCTATGAGGTATTAGAGCGCTGGAATTTTGGCACACTGCTCTGCGACATTTGGGTGTCATTCGATGTGCTCTGCTGCACTGCCTCTATACTGAATCTGTGCGCCATCTCAGTGGATCGCTATTTGGCCATCACCAAACCCCTGGAGTATGGAGTGAAGCGTACCCCGCGACGAATGATGCTTTGTGTGGGCGTTGTTTGGTTGGCAGCCGCCTGCATCTCGTTGCCGCCACTGCTAATCCTGGGCAATGAGCACGAGGATGAGGATGGACAGCCCATATGCACAGTGTGTCAGAACTTTGCATACCAAATCTATGCCACACTTGGGTCCTTCTACATCCCATTGTCCGTGATGCTGTTCGTCTATTATCAAATCTTCAAAGCGGCCCGTCGCATTGTCCTCGAGGAGAAGCGTGCCCAGACGCATCTGCAGCAGGCAATGAACGGTGGCGCCGGCTCACCACAGACAGCCACAGCACCGGCGCTCGGCCACACGGAACTGGGCAGCGGTAATGGCGCCGGGCATGGACATCGTCACAGCAGTGTCGGCAACACCTCCTTGACCTACTCCACCTGCGGCGGATTGAGCACCAGCGGTGGTGGTTGCGGTGGCGGCGTTAGCTTACCGCACGGTCATCATGGGAGCGGTGGTGGAGTGAGTGGCTCGACGGGTCTGCTTGGGTCACCACATCACAAGAAGCTGCGCTTTCAGCTGGCCAAAGAGAAGAAGGCGTCCACAACGCTGGGCATCATTATGTCCGCATTTACCATTTGCTGGCTGCCGTTCTTCATTCTGGCATTGATTCGACCCTTCGAGACGATGCATGTGCCGCCATCGTTATCCTCGCTCTTCCTCTGGCTGGGCTATGCTAATTCGCTGCTGAATCCGATCATTTACGCAACGTTAAATCGTGATTTTCGCAAGCCCTTCCAGGAGATACTCTATTTCCGTTGCTCCAGCCTCAATACTATGATGCGAGAGAACTACTATCAGGATCAGTATGGTGAGCCGCCGTCGCAGCGTGTCATGTTGGGCGATGAGCGACATGGTGCTCGGGAGAGCTTCCTATGAAGTCAAGGGTGCAACGGATTCTTGGCTCCTTGAAATTCTATATGTGTTATTAAAAGAAAAAACTAATTAGTCTCCGCTGCTTGGCAAACATATGGTCTATAGAAAGCCCAACACACACACACAGATCTACAATATACATATATATATATATATGTATACTATGTACGAGCACATGTAACTGTTTACCTATGAGTATTTTTTGTATGTAGTAGTGTTGCATACCGCAAACTCATAAGTACATTACAATCTACGATAAATGATTAACCATAAATGATAACGATAATGATGTAGATGACAACTCTTTAACTGTAACTGAACGTTGTAATTTTTAAATGTAACGCTAAGCAATGAAGTGGGCTAAAAGCTACAACCACACACACTCACACACACACTCACACACACACACACACACCCACATACTACAACCAAAACACACATACACAGAGAAATACGGTTGTACAACTGTAAACCCAAATCAGGTTTTAATGAACGGTTCCTTTTTTCAATAACCTTGCAGAAGGTACTAACAATTTTAAAATGACATCTCTGTCATGTTATATATCTATATATTCAATGTCCGATAGAAAAGATATTTAAATGTGAACTTGTAACTCATTATTGAAGATATTTTGAACACACTTATAAATTACAGGTCCCTTTATAAATAATTTATTAACATCTGTCTACTTTTCATGTTAAAATTAATACTAGAAAATGTTCCATCAGTCTGCAAGGTTATTTAAGCTTCGGCAGCGCCGAATATAGCTGATTTTTCCTGTTTGTTATTACCAAAAATGAAATGAAAAACCGGTCAGAATCACAATCGATATCGAATCTATTGAGCCCACAGCGAGCGTTATTCATTTGCGATACTCAAAACTGAGCCAAAAATTATATTAAACACACTGAAGATAGTTAGATAGTGTGCCAGCTAATTATACTTAAGATACGTCACATTAGTATATAGATCATAAAGCATGACAAAGCAAAATGGGCTCTTTGAACTGTCGAACTGTAAATAGTTAAGCGCGATACCAAAAATCAAAGATATATAAATGGTCAATAGTATATATGTATGTATATTTGCAGCTACCAACTGTCTCAGATCGTATCTTTGTTACACTCGTATAGCTACAGCTCAATAATAAATACAACTAATATGTGTGTATATGTATTTATTGAAACAAAAAAGAAGAAAAGCAAAAAGAAACTTTCTGCATTAATTATTTTGTATTGTTAATTTTTTTTGTGTATTTGTATAAAAGTCACGCCTCTCTGTGATACCAAACATTAAGCATTAACTTTTATGTTCAGATCAACAAACTGCATTATAAAATAAAACTAATACTAATATAATACTAATAGCATATACAAATACTACCTACATATAAAGATAATGATACTTTATATGTAATATATATATGTATACTTACGTATATCTAGTCTGGTTAAGTCTATTAAGTGTGCGTGTTTTTATTGTACGTATTGTCTACGTTAAGCACATGATATTCAATGGAAATACTGAGTTACATATGTGTAATGTATGTGTAATTTAATGTTGAACAAATGGGAGATAAGGAAATACAAATATATCTAATCACCACACAAAACACAAACACATTCTACAAATAAATACAAATAGATACAAAAAACAATGAAAAGAGCATGACAAAACTAAGTGCATCTAAACTAACATCTAAACAGACAAAACTAGTGCAACATAGAACTAAAGTTCAGTAAAAAAAACAAACATAAAAATACAAAATAAACAAAAATTTAAATGAAACTCGTCCGAGTGAAGCTTACAAAACTGTAAAACTGCATTTGAATTCTGTTTTCCACAGCTGCAAATGCAAAAATATACACAAAATACAAAAACCAAAAATTAAAAAACGAGAGCAAAAATTCAAGCATCAAATAAAAGGCAAACCACATAAATGTAATTCTAACAGATTTTGTTGTTTACTTATTTCACAAAACCCACATCCTTTCCCCCCAAAATGTGCATCAAACTATCACAGCAAAATTGTATGTGAAACTTTTCCAAAAACTTTCCCCAATTTGATTGCAAATTATGCTTTTGGGTTACATATGTCAGCGCAGGCCAAGCTAATAGAATTTTTTTTGGGAAATATAAAAGTTTGTTACTCGAATCAGTTGACTTTGAAACTCACTTTAACTGCACAAAAGCTGAAAATTATTTGATCATTGGCCAAATGACAGTCAAGCCTTAATTATGCCGGAGAGACTTAAATTGTTGTTCCGACTTAAAATTCCCACAACAGATATAATCTCATTTAATACAGAGGAAAATTGCATTGTTTAAACTGTCATTAATACTTAGCTCCTGTTGCAACACAACGGAAACTGTATTCCACAACAAATTGACAGTTGTCACAGCGATGCCAACAGTTGCTAATCAAAAGATTATTAAAATAAAGATACTGTATATTGGCCATTGGTGATATTCAACTCAAAGTAGTTGTCTTACATGCAACAGTTCTAGCCGATTGTTTTATATAAATATTTCCAGTTTAGTGATTTAAACATCGGAGCGAAATGAAAATGTATACAAGCAGATAGATAGAAATACAGTTCGTTTATTTGAAATTATAAATAAACTTAATTGTGTTGAGCAATTGTTTTCTCTATCCGCCAAGCAGGAAAAACTTAAATTGAATTATTTCCCCTTAGGGCATACTAGCAAAAAGCGAAAGCATGAAATGCAGCAGCTGCCAAATGTTGCCAAGAATGCTGTCAAATGTCAACTCAATGCGAAGTCTAACGGACTGTGAAAATTAAAATGAATCTTGTAATACATAAGTCAACTATATAGAATATATATCCACATAGGCCATGTGGTGCCAGTTTGTTTGTCTGACGGACAAGTTGTGCGAACGTGCGAAAATGCGCGGAAACGGATGCAAAACCATGCGAAACATGGTGAAAGATATCAAATGGCAAACGGAAAACCGGCAAACGGCAATTCCAAATGGTAAACGGTAAAAAATAGCAGCAGCAACACTCGAAGGCATTTGGCAAGCAAGTGCTTATACATATCTATTTGCCTGTATAAATAAGCTTTGTATCTGTGCAAGTTTTTGAATCCTAGTTTTTTGGTAGCCAAAAAAAACACACCCAATGCTGGAACAGCAGCTACATAAGCCACTTGACAGAGTATCGATTGTGTGTGTGTGTGTTTGGGGCGTGCACTGCACTGTAAGTGAAGACACACTCTAGAAGGGTATGACAATGACAAACTGATCTTCCGGCGCCAGCTAGTAACTCCTGGCTGGTCCTGCTCCTGGCTGCTCCTGACTGCTGCTTGCTGATAAATGATGATTTTACGCTCTCACTCGTAGTTGCTGCTCGTTGCCAGTTAAAATGCCACTTTATGAGCTATGCTCCTGGTGTAGACTGAATGGCGACATGCAGCGTACTACATCGATTCAACAGCACCCAACACCCGACACCCAATAGTCGACATGCCACACACAATACACTGCACCCACGGCGTATGCGTGTTTTGTATTTTGAGTTTGCGCTGCTTTTCGGCTATTTCACCCTGCACCTAAGCGTATTTTATATTCATATACCTATTCACGAGTAGAGACAAGCAGACCCAAGGAAATGAGCTGACGATTGCAGCGAAATTACCGTTTTCTGTTGTTTCTCTCGTTTCGTATCGTAAGCAGTAAAGTCTGCAGTTTTATGAGCACTTTGTGAGAATTGTCTTTTATTATTTCTTCTCTCCTTTTTTTTTGTGACGCTAATGCGACATTTATGAAACATTGGCAATAGCGATTTGTTTTCAAATGATTGTAAAAAAAGAGCAATAGACGAAAAATGGCTTGCCACTTTAGAAAGACGCGCTTATGAAAATGTCTGCTATTGTCAGCATGTTACCCAATGGGATGAGATAAATGTCCAACAAATATTGGGCCATAAATCAGTGGAAAGGAGCGTTTGATTTATAAAAAATATCTTCGTTTACCTAAGAGTATGTATAGCCAGTCTGACAATATAGTTAAGAAGAACAATAAAAGTACCAATAAAATTGTTAAATTGTCAAGGATGCTATTAAATTTAAACAACAGAGTTTAAATTGTTCATGCAACATATCTGTATTTCGTGTACCCTCAAGAAAAAGTACAGTGCAGCAAGTCGAAAGCTATAATTGTAATTAATGAGTACACAAGGCAATCCAAATTGACTGACTTCCACTTTATCTGTGGCTGGGATTGATGAGATCATGCATACGAATAGAAACAGAGGCGTATACTTAATTTGTTCACAGATGCCTCCGTTTTTATGGACATAGGGTATAGGAAGTCCAGTGTCACGTAACTAAAATCCAATTGTGCTAAATGCTAAATGCTTCCAAGGCCATGTGTGTGTCAAATTGACTACACTGTGTTGCCGGGCAAGGGGACTACTTAAATGACAGATAACACAGTCGATAATCAATAGAGTGTTGAGTGATGAAAGTGGCAAGTGTGTTTAGCTATATGTGAAACAAATTGGCAGCTCTTTGAAGTGAAAATGACTCAAAACGGGATGAGATCAAATTTCTAGCAATTGGACTCACAGCTCACTTTCCGTTTGCCCTACTTCATCCTATTTATTAGATGCCAAAGCTCTCAAGTTACATCTTAAATTCAATAAATATAAGAGCAGCAATTTACTTAGCTGAACCGCAATTTGATATTTTTCTGAAATTTAATAACTCTGTGGCAAAGTATCATTTGGTATTTGAGCTCAAGTATAAACATAAAAGATATTAAATGAAATCAATTACTAATTTTTGATTCTTGTCGATATTTGGCAGCAGCGCATTTTATAGGAATATCAAAATAATATTACAGATAAGTCAACTTTTTGTTATATATGTAGATTTCCTAAATGCACATATATATTTTATATTCCATTAATTTTTTTAAATGGATTGGCAGCTAAAAATTCAATAAATACGTTTAATGGCTAACTAAAAAGAAACCAAATTGAATAACGCGGGTCTAGACTGTTACAGACTGTTAAATAAAGGTTATTTTGTTTGCTCCGTACAATTATTATTATTTGCAATTGGATTTGGTGTTGTGCCGAATTGCCCACAGTTATTCCATTCAGATACAGATACAGCATATTTGTTCATCAATTGCAAAGCAAGATAAAATTGGGAAATTTTCAATGTTGCCATGAGCAAATGTAACAAAATAATGCGTATACGCCACGCTCAACACAACAATGCCACAAAAAAGTATGCAGCATTCAAATGGTAAACTGGTAAACTGAGTAAACCAAATCAACATCCACCAACACACACACACACACACACAGACCGTCACGCACCTATCAAAATGTATTCAAAACCAAATTCGGTAAGGTATTTGAAAGCGCTGAAAATCATTTTTCAATAGCAGCCAGCTACCTTTCCGCTCTCTTCGTGCCCACATTTTATTGTAAAAATATTTTATTAAATGTGCTGTCGCCGACGGGTCTTGCGTCACCCGAAAAATACCAAAAAATAAAAAAAAAGTGAAATATCTGAGAATTTGTACAAAATTAAGTTGATTAAATGGACTTAGCAGCGCGATTACACGCAAGGCTGCATGAGAGCAGCTTTGAGGGAGCATAAGGCGGGGCAGGGTGGCTGCTTGGGTCTAAAACGCTATGCGTGTTGTCTGGATAGCGAGTCTTCTTTTCATGGGCGAAGGCACCACAACAAAATGAAGAAAAAAAGAAACAGAAAAAACATATTTTTCATTTCATTCCCTTCACATCGCTCTGTGTCCATTGACAGGCTGGTTGGAGGCGGCCAAGTGAACAGCAAACAGCAACGAGCCCGAAACTTTGACCATTGAAATCTCTGTCTCGTGGGAGCACTGGTGCCTTAGAGCCATTAAATGGCGCATGATTAACGCTTTGCTCTACAAGACAATTGATAAAGAATAGAACATCAGCAGCTGCCAGAAGTCCCAAATGAAACGGAGCCTGCTTTAATCTGTTGTCTCCCCATTCGCCGGCTGACAACAAAAGTCAATGCAGCTCTCAAAGTGCTACAGCAATGAGCAAAATAAATTTCTTAATGAAGTTTGTAACAGTTAGTGAGACAAGTGTTTGCCATAAATCTGTATGAACTACCAATCTGTTATACAAGTGAAACTATATTATTACATCAAAAAAGTCCAACAAAACTTAACTTTTATTTTTGGGTATAAACAAGAAAATGAAAGAGGATATGTGGACGAAGTTACTAGCGCAATTGATTGACCTAATTAGACTGAGAGCCAGTAATATCGAAATATATATTCTCTAAAACAACAGCTCTCAAAATTGACTACGATCTGCGCATGCTTCTCACGGGATCACTAAGCTTTCCTTTGTTTAGACACATTACAAATTTAAAAAAAAACCGCCCTAAAATCAAAGGCTATCAGAAATCAATCCATTACACATATATTTACAATTTTGAAAAGGAATAAATCTCAAGTAGTACTATAAATTCATTTAGGCTTTGTGACTAAAACTCATTGCAATATATATAATAAGACCCAGAAGAGCATTTAAATTCAGTCAGCCTTATTGTTCGCTCGCATTCTCTTTTGTTTGACAATTAAGTGGTAACGGAAACGGAAACTCTCGAGCAGCCATAGAAAAAAGATCATTTAATGCAGCGTTTACATTGGTCTTGCGCTTTTTGGTTATTATTGTTATTTTTGCTGGTTGACAGCTTTGGCATTGTTTTTAGCCAGTTCACAAAATATGCGGCGGCATTTTACTCTCCGCTTGGTCTCCCTCCACGCTGCAGGCGTGCAGAATGATTAATGTGAAGACGGCGCAAAACACAGGCATTAATGGGCGGTCAGTGGAATGCGTTTCACTGGGGGCCAGAGAGTCCCTTTTCCGGATCCAGCTACATTTTTTACGTGCTGACATTGTGTAGAAGCGAGCGGACTTTTAAAACTCCTGTAAATTGCGGCACTTAACGCTCACGCTCAAAAAGCATATATATTTATGTATATATATGAGATGCCTGCACGTTCAGTGCAGCAATCACCGAGCGCCGGAGACACATAAATTAATAGGGAGTATGTGTGTGTGTGTGTATACAACACGGCGTATGATTAATCTGTTGTATTACACAATCTAATGGGCAGCTCGTGCCGCCGCACTCGAAGTGAGCTGTCAGTGGCTGAATCTGAATCTGTAGTTGGAGCTTGATTTTAAGGCTACCCGGCTCCTTGCTTAAATCTTTATTAATATGCATTGGAGGCATAGCCTTGTCCTGTTCGTCAGCGTGCCCCATGAAAAATGGCCGCCATTAGGGCCAGCAAATTTGTTGCGATGTGCCACAGAAAAACAGAGAAACACAGTAGCAACATCAGCAGCAGCAGCGGCATCAACTGCATTGATTTTGCAGCACGCTGACTGAGCGAGAGTTGTTGTTGGTGTTGGTGGACTTCAATTCCCTGCCCACATTCCATTTATGTTAATGATCTCGGTATTGCGAACCTCATTAGAATTTCATGTTGCCCAGCAAATTGAGGCGCATCAAGCGAATGGGAAACCATAAATTGTGCCCTGATTGACACGACTCGATTTGCTAGCACCAGCAACGAGGCTAATTGCATACGCCGATTGTTATGCTAAGTGACTATGCCAGGATTGGAACATGCAAATGATGCATACCACTTGTATATGTAGAAGTTCGGTTACATGCCCAATTTGTTGGTCCCGTACAACCTATATGGTAAAATGACACATGTATCAATTTGTATGCATAATATATTTACACTGATGAAGACTGCTTTAATCTTGCAATATATATATATAAATATTGCCAAACAGAATGAACGAACTTGAAGTGTCTGCACTGCTATATGCTATATATAATATATAATATTGATGAATAAATAAAACATAAGAAGAAATTCTTTATGTTTGGAATATTCCCTCATTTCAAAATTGAATTTCAGATCAGCCAAAAGAACTTTCTGCAAAGCCATTTTGATCGTAATTTGGCCACTAGATTACATAATAATAATTTGATTTATGTATAATATCTGTGATATTTTAAGAGTGATGAGTACTCGTGCAGCAAATCGTAGAAGTAAGTTTTAAACATCATAACGAGTGTCACAAAAAATACGAAATGTTATTAAAAAAAAACTGTTAATCTTTAGTTGCTTTTATGCCGTTTACATCAGAGGCAGGCCTTCTGACGTGATGGACTTGGGTTACGATAATGGCCAACTGTATACAGCGCTTAGTCGTGAGCCACGGCACCATCCTGATCATCATCATCACGACGAACACCACGAGCCTGGGAGTACAGCAGGATCAGAGGACGGATCACCAGTCACAAGAAACACACATGCCGAGCCACGGTGTGGACACGGTGGTCACGGTGGCTCAATGATCTTTCATTTTGGCTGTACGGAAACGATTCTTTTTGAGTTCTGGCAAACAAAATCGACGGACAACCTACTTCTCTCCTGCCTGATCGTCTTCATTATGGCCGTGTTCTACGAGGCGCTCAAATGCTATCGAGAGTGGCTAAAGAAATGCGAAAAGCAACGCTTGGATGGAGGAGCTAATCCGACAAGACATTTTCGCTCAGCTGTTCCCATTCCACAGCGAATCGATGCACCACCACCCTCGGCACAGCAGATCTCAGTGCCACTGACGATCGCAGCAGAATCGGTTCTCCAACCACCAATGGCAGTGCCGCCGATTGGCGAACTCGCATTGAGCCAGCGTTATCCTTGGCTTGATTTGAGGCATTGGTTTCAGACCCTACTCCACATGCTCCAGGTGACCATCTCGTTTATGATGATGCTCATCTTTATGACTTTCAATGTGTATCTTTGCATAGCTGTCGTCGCCGGTGCCGGTGTCGGTTATTTCATCTTTTTTGCGCGCAGGGAGAATATTTCCGACCATTGCAATTGAGGAGGGTCCTCACCTTTCATACTGTACCCAACTTTGTGTGCTCTGTGCTAATGTATTTTTCTAATTAAACCAAGTTATAAAAATATCATAACAAATACTGGTTACCAGCAAGCAGGCCTAATTGTTCATGTTTATGGGTCATAAAACAATGACTGCAGCTACCGACTACAAAAACAAAAAGAAACAAAGCAAATAAAAACATCTGCAAAGTGGCGAAAATGGATGCCTCCATTGTGGCCAAGTAGGCGTATGCATAATCTACGCATAATATAAAAATGGAGGACAATGGCCACTCGCCAAACCCTCAACCGCTTTCTGTTATCCTTCTAATTACATAAGTGCGAACGCGAGCCAGCATATGCCTCCGTCTGTGGAGAGTGTATGCCGAATTCGCTCAATACGCATATTATTCTTGTTGTTTTTGTTTCTTTTTGCATCTCTGTGGCTTTACGGCCGTTTTACGAGCAGACCCATATATACTGTATACTGTACACACAGGTGGTAACTGAGCAGCTGAGCAACTGAGCGTTCATCTCTGTGTTTTGTGTCTGGCGTTCTCATAATGCCACAATTATGAGAGCGATAAACCTTGGACGAAGATTTTATTTCACCTTCACTTCCAATTTTGTCCGGGCTACTATCATCGTTGGCCAACATTCAATTAATATTTCAATAAGCCAGCTTTATGCCATTTGGCAAGCGGATAACGCAATTTGGCTTTAATACGCAACGTTGCACATGAAAGCATGAAAGCGCATTCCCAGTCGCAGTCGCAGTCGACTACAGCGTCAGCGCCACATTCCAAACTGAAGCAAAACTCAGCTTTAATAATTCACACACATGTTCATACATACTATGTAAGTGAACTTGTGTGTGTGAGAGTCGTAAAACTTGACCCAACGGGTTCGTCATCATGCAGCGGCCCGAAGCCAAAGCGGAAGCGGAAATGCGTTCATGCATAATAATTTCACTCGTCATCGAAGCAGGCAGGCAGGCCAACAGGCAGGAAGGCAAGTAGAAAGGCAGAAAGGCGGACATAGGCAGTCATCGTCGTCCTTATCGAGTCTGACTAATGAGCGCTTACATATACATATAAACAACTAAATATAAGACTATTATGATGGACCATTGCGATAATGAATTACGAGTGTTTAATGAATGTAACACATGACTCGTGTTCTGTAAGCTACTAAATGAAAGTGTATATTCTATTTTGAAGAGTTAATTTATATTTCAAAGTCTTTATACAAATTTAGATAGTAAACTCTTGCGATAATATTTAAAAGTGAATATGAAATTTCAGATGTTTAATAAATATGTTACTTTGATAGATGTTTATTATTCAATATTGGAATTTTTTGATACCAAATTATGAAATATATTCACACAAGTAGAAAAAGTCTAATATCTATATCAAGAATTGATCCCAATACTCCTCATTGTTTGCGGAAAAGCTCGAAGTGGTGTTAATCGAGCTCGAAGCTCCTGCTCGGCATGAAGATAGTACAAAGTTATGTGATAATATGAAAAAGGGATGATTAATCGGAGATGCGGATTCCGCAAAACTCCTCTTGCGCTCTGCTTGGGAGTATTGTTTGCCATAACGACAACAAATCCATTCCACTGAAAACATGGGAGAGTCGTCAGGATATAAGCCACACGTTCCATGCCCACGCGTAGTATTTTCTTCATCAAATCCAGATCATCTGCATCGTTGAAGTCCTGTCCAAACTCCTCTTCTACCTTTTCCTTTTTCTTTTCTGTGTCTACTCCTAAGCACCTTGAAAAAGTTTAGTTTTCTGTTAGAAGATGCTTTTCGCTGCGCGATCCACGACTTTATGCTTAATGGATAAAGTAGTGCCTTCCCAGAGCGCATTCAGATACTTTTAATTATTAATAAGCGACTTGGCAACCTTCTCTTAATTCAATATATTTATGTTTTAAAATAGTAGTAGGATATACCTCAAATAGTAAATAACTTAGCAATTGGCTTTTACAACTAATAAATTGCTCAGAGAATTGTTTTTTCTTTAAACACATAAATTGTGTGTATCTTTTTTCTTATCTCATATCAAGCAAAATATCTCTTTTTATAGAATTGACCACAAATCCAACGATTTGGGGCGTTCAGTTGACATTTAGAGTTCATTTGTTAGCCAAGACCAATTGACATTGGCCCAACTAATGCCACGACTTGCTTTTAATGGCCATCCCCTTCAACAAACTCTCTGTCGGACACATATATGTGGTTGATTGCGAGTGTGTTGTGTGCGTGTGTGTGTGTGTGAGGGGTAAAAATTGCCCGTATGCCTGCGAGTGTTTGTGACAATTTGTTGGTCCTTTGCAGCCCGCAGAAGTACATCATTAATTTATTAGCAAGCCAAATAGGCGACAACAATCACAGGTCAGACGCAAGGACTCAGCAGTTTTCTCTGCAGCACACACGTGTCATCCTTAATATATGCCTTCTCTTTGTGTGTGCGTATGTGTGTTTGTGTGTGTGTGTGTGTTTGTGTGTGTGTTGCTTTGTTTTGTCAGCAACTGCCTGAGGCTATTTGTGGGCCCGGCCGCAAGTGAGCGCTAGAGTTTACAGTTAACGTGGCTTAAACCGTAGCCCCGTATTTTTTGGCCAATAATTTATGACTTTATATATTCGGCTGTCAATTAAATTCTTTAGAAAACTGACAACATTACCATTCGCTGACATCACGTGGAGCCTCCTCCAAATGATTTATGCGCCCGACCGGCTGACAGTTTCTGGCCAAGAACATTCATACATTTGTCTCCTGACTGTATACAGTCAGAAAAAATCTAGTATTTCACATAATTGTGAACTTGATTGAAATCACTTAAGTTGAGTGTTCAACTCTTGCTTGTTTTAGGATTTTTTATTTGTTATTATTTGAAGATTATTTGTGTTTAAGTAAATTTGCAAATACTTGTTTGTAGTAGTAGTCCGATTATTTGCCACTTTTGTACTCACTCTTCTTTGTTTGTCAGTGTATTTTTGTGTGAAGAGCGTTTGCTAGTTTCCTTTTTCCTGTCACTTTTAGCGAGCGACACGTGCCTAACGCCTGCAGAGCTGCTTATGTTAATGACCCGAACCTGAACCCGCGCCCGTGCCCATACCCGTAGCCCTATTAACCGATACCCGTCTCCATCTCCAACTCCACTTCCATCTTAATCCGGAACCGACTTTAGCATGCTCCTTCTATTCGACAATTGGCATGTGTTTTCTGGCCATTTTCGTTCATTTTGCCGGGTGTTAGATCTTAATATTGGATACTCTCAGCTTGCATTGTCAGGTAAAAGTTTATCACAGCTGCCATATATCAAGGAAATTCACGTGAAAAACCCATTTGTGGGCGTTACGCCTGAGGCATTTTTAATTTGTTTGGCTGCTGCTGCTCTCTGTTGTTGCTAGAGAAACTTTTTTGCAACTTATACGCATGATATGTGGCTAGGGGCATCAGTTTAGCATCCAACATAAATACCAAAAGTTTTTACATCAGTTTATCGGTTATTAATGTCGGTTGCATGAATTAAAAAAGATCAGACTGCTTTTATTTGAATAAATTTCAATGGCGATAGTCAGTCAGCAAATAAAATGATGGAGTTCAGCATAAAAATTAATCAAATAAACTACCGAACGGAACTTGAAAGTTGGTTGAGTATTGATTACATTTTAAATAATGTAACAACATGTTGTAAAAATAATTTTAATCTGCTTATTTTACATAATTAATGCTTCAACAACTTTGATTCTGAGTAGCACAGAGTATAAGTTATGTACATGTTAATTAAAAACACTATCAGCTTGACGTGTATAAAAAGAACTAAGATTTTCTTACATTTCTTTTTTTTTCTTCTTAAAAATTTCATATCCATGTGGCAATTAAATATACTTTCATTAGCGGGCAATAGAAAACCGATTTAAGAGGTGTCATATTCAAAATATAATATTTATATAATAATGTCGTTCTTTGAGCTTGACCTCACTAGGCAAATGCAATGTCACATGGAAAACTAAAGCAAATGAAAATAATAATTGAGTGAGCTGGCCTGACTGACTGACTGGCTGACTGACTGTCAGTTCCAGTTACTGATCTGTCCGCCAACTGCTCAGCTTGTACTCTTGAATGACGTGGTGTTGTTGTTGTTGTTATTGTTTTTGCTGCTGCTGTTCGACGGTTTCAGTTGTTTAAGTTTTCCCTTCTTGTTGTTTGCGCCTGAACGCCTCCGTTTGTTTTCCTTGTTTGTTGGCCCTTAACGATTCGCGCTCCACTGATTCAGCAACATTGAACCACACCCAATCCACAATCAATGTGCACAGGATATGTTTTGTTGATATACCAAATAGGCACTGCCTGGATTTGCATTTGACTTTCCGGCAAATGGTAATGGGAATTGCCGCAAACCAAGCTTATGCCAACGCTCTCCACTCAAGGATTTATGAAGTCACGTGCACCCACGCAGTTGAGTAGGGATTATAAATTATATAATCCATATGTATATGTATGTATATATAGAAACGCTTAAAGTGAAAAGTCGACGGCTAGCCAAAAGCCAGAGCTTAGTCAAAAACTGTTGCTTGACAATTTCGAAAGATATTTATATGGAGCACACTAAAGCACACTAAGAAAATGCGTATGCTAAAAGTAAAAGCATGTTTCCATATCCAAAACCTGTCCATATTATATAGCTGCATCTTTTGCCTTAGCTTTCACCCCTTGGTGAAATTTAACGAGCTCCTAACTTTATGTTTGCTTGTCATGTACACATTTTGTTTTTATTGGAGACTCAGCAAGTCTGCAAGAACTACCCCACCCCAACCCATCACCAGCTGCCTTGCTTAAGTGAAACATTTTTTAAAGCCGTCTTGTAGGCGTGCGTGGTGCGTAAACATAAACACACACACACACACATACACAAACATATATATATATATATATACATATACACACACATATACAAGCACACGAGCGCCATTCAACAGTTTTCGGTTAATGTTTATATGTATAAACAAAAGTGCACATATTATTTTTTAAGCATATCGAATACTGAATGCCCTTACCCATATATTTATTTGAATAATACATGATATATTAGTTTAGTTTAGTTTGAAAGTAATAAATTAATAGATATACAATGGTTATGGTACCTAGGTTTTATGCTAAGAAAGCAAGTACAAGATTTATTAGATAATACATTAAAAAGTTGTGCGATTTAAAAGTTGATCAC